ACAAGTCGTAATATTTAAATAACGTTGTTTTTCTCTGAAAATGGTTCTTATATAATGAAAACACTTTTTACTATACTTTTTAAACTTATCATAAAATTTACCGTAGTTTATCACTTTTAAGAGGATCCATTATTGTGGATGTATTTTGCTACCAATCAATTATAGGTTAGTGTTATTTTGTTTTCTTCGTACTGCCATTTTTGCCATGAATATTGACAGATAATTTTGTTGATTGTACAGTGTTTACTGTTTAATACTATATCTAATGAGAGCTTTCAATTTGAGATACATAATATGAAATACGAATACTGAAAGGGTACTCAATTTTAAGTTGTTGTTTAACGTATGGGATAGCCATGCTTCGGCACGAATGGGTCAAATTATCTGGAGTGATACCACGGCCTAACAGAAAACCGCCGTGAAACAGCGCTTGCGTTGTATTTTTTGGGTCTCCGGTAATCTTACCGGAGCCTTCCCCCTTCCCCAATCCCTAAATCCCCAACAATCCTCAAATTCTTTATCCTCGAAAGGCCGCTAACGCACTTGTTAACGCCTCTGGTGTGTATGAGCGACGCCGATGTCGATTCCTTACCATCAGGTGATTCAAAAAAACGACTAGTTTTTTAATCCAGATCAGCAGTCATAACTTAAATGGTTAGGTAAATATGTCATGTCTACAGACACAAAACAATTTAAATTGGTCCTTGCGACATATTTTACTTAGACCACACCCAAACAGAAATGCAGGAGCCAACTTGGAAATGCCAAATGAAATCTCGAATTCTGTAAAATTATTTCAATCAGCTGGATATTAAGTTGGCTGGTTAGTATCTGATTCAATTTGACTGTAGATTTGTAGATAGGGTATGGATGTTTTAAATTCGAAAATTCTGGGTTGAGGTGAGTATTAGAGTGTATTGGAGTTAGACGTAGTAACACATAATATAACATCACGCCTTTTTATACCCGAAAGGGTAGGCAGAGGTGTACATTACGGTACTTAACGCCGCTGTACAATGTAACACCCACTTTTCACTATTTATGTTATGAGTCCCATGCAATAGGGGGTGAGTCTATAGCCATATACCGGGACTTCCAGACTTCGTGCTACTACTGAGATTTTTAAAAACTTAGTAATACTTTGCCCGACCCAGGAATCGAACCCGAGAGCCCTTGCCCGGCAGTCGCACTTGCGACCAATCGGCCAACGAGGCAGTCGATGTATTAGAGTTAGACATAGTACTTCGAGTATTTATAGAAGGCAATATTACAATATAAAAATTAGATTGTAGGTTATGATTTCTTTATAATTCCTCTCTTGAGTACGCTGAAAATAAGATTCTACTTACTAAGACGGTGCTACTAGAAGTCGGTGCCAGAAACCCTTAATAACGATCACACCCCATCTTAGCTTTTGCAGGCAATTTTGGGGTTCACCAATTGTACAGTGACCAGACCTACTCGTTTCTGTAGTATTATTACCTTTATTGTTAGTTGGAAATAAAGTCGAAAATCCTACGAAAAAGCCTGGCTTGCTGGCCACTGTGCACAAAAAATAATGACATAATGTCAGTGATGCCATGCTCGAAATGAGAAGACTAGCAGTATATTATAATCTGTGTTTAATTTAAAATACTCATTTTCCATGTTTTCATACTACGATAATAAAAAAAATTTGACGTCAATGAAGTCATGCTGGAAATAACAAGGACAGAAGCGTTTATTACTGTGTGTTCTCTTTCTTTTTTTTTAAGATAGAACGTACCATTTTTTGTTAATTCGTAAATGTCCGATTATGAAAAAGCCACCTTTGTTAATACAAAAGTAGTCTCTAAACATCGGAAATCTTATACTATCATATAAAGCGGAAGAGTTTGTTTTTTTTTTGTTTGTTTGTTTGAACGCGCTAATCTCCGTAACTATAAGTCTGATTTGAATAATTATGTTTTGTGTTGGATAGCGCATTTATTGAGGATGGCTATAGGCTATAAAACATCACGCTACGACCAATAGGAGCTGAGCAGAGCATGTGAAACCGCGTGGAAGTAGCTAGTAAGGTCTATAATGGTGTAAGTGGTGAGCGGTCACCGGTGACCGCTTGGATCTTGACTAGTTTGAAATGTAATTTTTCTATATTCCCGAAACGTAATGCTCTCATCAAGTTCCGTTTTAGAGTAGAGTAGACTGGAACTGTTTAGAATAGTTTTGTACTAGATTATGTCTACTGCAAAAACAAAATAAATGGTGCAAACATAAACCTGGCATTCAATTGGTTAGGTACATTGGTTCATTATTAAAACAAGAGTAATCTGTTGAAATAGTGTATTTTTACATTTTCAAAAAAAAAATCAATAGAATATCTATGCATTTAATTAATTAATTATTATTTTATCCTAAAGATTACAAAAATAAGTATTCTTATCAATACAATTACAAAAAATAAAACATTTTTTAATTACATAGCTTCAATTGCATCACCCAAACTTTATATAGTGTTAATCATACTTACACAGTTGAAATTACGTTAATATTTTACTAAAATAATTATTTACATTGACGCCTTGTCTAACCGGAAGACTTATTATTTAATTTGACTATTATAAGATGAATTTACCGCCTCGTTTAATTCTTTTAGTGTGGACGAGGTCTATAGCTCCATTTTCTAGTTAAGCAAAGCACTAGTTTACTTAATAAATTAAAGGGATTTTCGATTTAGAAATTCATTACTGTAGCTCGGTAGTTTAAATTGTGCCCTTTTTAAAATGGGACTAAGGGTGTTAGCATACCAAGCTGAAGTAGCTCGATCGATCGTCAGGTAGAAAATATCGATGGACGTCGACTTATCCATTCTACCATCGATGGGTGGTAGATCGATTCGTGTGGCAACACCCTTAAAACGAAACGTCAAAAATATCCCGTAAGCCGTAGTCCTAAGTCAGGGTGCATCGCGCAAGCGGAATCCGCCGCATACGAAATTCCAGACGCCGTTTCGTGTGTAACAGATTCCGCTTTCGCGATTCGCCGTGACCTAGGACTCAGCCTTACGGAAAAGCTGAAATGATGTTGTTTCATGTTATAATAAGTCTTAAATTATGTCATGTTAAAATAGCTACCGATAAAGCCAAGGCTTCGTACATGACAACCTAAATATTACTGAAGTAACTATTAGTGGACTCAATTTTATATTTAAACTTAATAAATACATTTTAATTATGTATGTATATTTTTATAATAATATTATGTATGTATAAGATTTCATGTAAATGTCACTTAATTAGGTAACTACTCTGGGTACCAAAATGATGTATTTTTTTATATATTGTTCACAATAAATACGGATTTATTAGAAAGAAATGCTGCCAAATATAAATATATTAAATATCCCGTTTATACGAAGTTTGAAGGAAAAATAAGAAATGAATAAAATTAAGATTATTTCTGTATATTTTCAAAAATAAATTCAGTACATTGCAATTATGAATATTGTTAATTATGTTCAAAGATTATGAGATGGTGTATCTATATATATATTCTGAATTAATTTCCGTAGCATTTGACAAAATTTACAATAATCAAAACTATGTATTAAGCGAGATGATTATAATAATTATACATCTGTTACGTGTAAATAGAGCATTATATATATATAGAACTTTAAAAAAAGAAGAGAGGAGTTTTAATAATGTAGAAAATAATTGTCAACATTTCTTCTGGTAACACAATATTTTGGCATTCCGGTCACCATTGATAAAAACTAAATTTTAGGCGTTATATTAAAAAGATATATTAAGACTATGTTACATGGAGACCAGTTACGTTGGCACATGTAGTCAACAGAAATGTATAATGTATAAGGTTTCCTTATAAAAGGTTATAATGCGTAAACCTCTAACAATAGATAAATGATTGTGTAATATGTAATTACAAAATACAGTTATGTGTGCATGTAGATATAGATATAAATGATTGTGTAATATGTAATTACAAAATACAGTTATGTGTGCATGTAGATATAGATATAAGTAAGATATTTATTTGAAACTTTGTAAGGTACTTACATTTTCTTAGTTAACGTACGAAAAAATAATTACAAGAGTTACCATTCAAAAGGATAAACTAAATCGTTTTTTGTCGCGTCAGTTTAGTAATTTGGAAATATAACTAACATTTTAGAGGCTGGTGAATAAAAAATTTTTTTCAAACTTCTCACAGTATATGTATATAAATGTAACAATGTAAATCGCTCTGACCTTCAAAATCAAGGCACTGTCACAGTAATTGGTGCTTTAAACAAAGATCCCAAAGACACACTTTACGTATTGCACCATTCAGCACACGTGAATAACTTATACCTTCTATAATACATACATAAAGGTTAAAATAAGTACAAAAGTTAGAACCATTCTTGCTATTGATATTGCACTACTATTGAATCGAATTAAACTGTCAAACACCAAGCGGTCACCGGTGACCGCGACCTATTGTTCTTTAATTGTGTTTATAAAACCGGTACTCGACGAATTAATAAGCATTGATTTACTAAAATAAAAATAGGTAATAATAATAAAATTTAATAGTTGAGACTTTAATATAGAATATAATTTAAGCTATTTACAAATACATAGTGATATTCAGAGTGTAAATAGAAACAGTAATTTACTAGAAACCATTTTTTTCGAATTGTGTTTCGAAGACTCCGAACACCACTTACAGTTGACAAGCAACCGGCAAGAGCTAACAACTAAACAATTAATGGCATTATAACATTCAATGAAACAATTTACTTAACACACTATGGTGAAAACGTCACTATATTTCGTAACATTAAGTAAAATAGATACGTATTGGATGAACTTGACCTCCCTAATGACGTAAACGATAACGCATTTGCAACTTAAATCATAAATGTGCAAGTTTGCGTTTCTGATTACCGGCATGCATAAACTGCTTTAGATGAGATAATTATTTAAAAAATAACAATCAGTGATGGTTCACATAATTTAGAAATTACTATCCCATCCTGAGAGGTCATCTGGTGGTGGTTCATCGGCATCTGGTGGATATTGGTCGAAGTTGTGGGTGTCGACTGGGGATCTCACTACAGGGGTGATAGGAGGCTCAAGGGAACGTTGCGCGAGGCCTTCCCAGTTGAATCCATCGAACCACCTGGAAAGTAAAAACGAGACTGAGTATGAAGAAGATGAAACGATTAAACTGTAGTTTATGCTTTCTCTGCTTTACTAAATAATTTGCGACTTAAAAATTATATGTTAAAGCACTTCATGTATATTCAGATTAACCCCCCAAGGTTAGCAATGAACTTTCATTTTAGCTCGTGCTCTGGTGTTGCAAATTTCCATGGTCGGACGCTTACTATAAGGTGATCCATCTGCTCATTTATCACTTTGTCTGATAAAAATTACTTACTTGTGTTTCTGTATCTCAGTAATGCCTCCTCTCTGATAGCCAAGTCGTTCAGCAGGATTATCTCGACACAGCTTTTTAATCAAGTTAGTGGCATTCCTAGTGATACAGCGTGGGAATTCCACGGCATCGATACCCTTGAGAATCTTGTTGTAAGTTTTCATTGGATCAGTGCCCGTGAATGGTGGTGAACCAGTAAGCAGCTCAAACATAAGAACACCTGAAATAATGAAGATGGTTACGTTAAAGAGGATGTATTTTGAAGTACATTGTACAAATTTTCACACGATATCGGATTTTGGCAATTATCGCCTGTTATGGCCAGAGATTCGCAGGAAAAGACTCAAAAAATACTCAGCAAGTAAAATTTAATGCGGTGTTAACTCAACGAGTACAGCATATTAAATATAATGAAATATTTTGCATAGAAATTTAATGCTGTGCTGTATGTGAGTATTTTTTGAGTCTTTTCCTGCGAAGCCCTGGCCAATACATTGCCCATAATTGTAATTAAAGGAACTGATGAAACAATAAATTATGGGGAAACGAATTGTTTCTACGAATAAAATGTTAAAACAATTAATGAAAGGGTTGGTTAATCACAATTTGATTTGGTAGGAATGATTGCAAAAACAACGTAGTAAAAACGCTAGAAGGTCATAGCGTCTTCGTATAAAGGACATTTAAGAAAAAAGTAATTTTGAATGGTTTATAAAGATTGAGGAAAATTTAAGGAAAATGAAGTTGTAAATGAAAAGAGATCTTACCTAAGGACCAATAATCCGCACTAATATCATGACCTCGGTTCATGATTACTTCAGGGGCCACATACTCCGGCGTACCGCAGAAAGTCCAAGTCTTGCGGCTTGCTTGCAATTTCTTTGAGAAACCGAAGTCTACTAGTTTCACGTATCCTTTAGAGTCTAATAGTAAATTCTCTGGTTTGAGATCCCTGGAAAAGATTATCACAAAATTTATTATCAAAAAAGTCTACTATTAAAGATGTTAATTGTTATAGACCATAATGGCGTTAGATGGTTCCTTACCTGTAAATAATATTTCTCGAATGCAGGTAATGGAAGGCCTCAACCACACAAGCAGTATAGAATCTTGTAGTCGCATCGTCGAATTGGCCTTAAAAAACAAAAATATGTAAATTAGGCACTTTAGATATAAATATTAAAATTTCAATGATACAAAGCAGCAATAAGATTGATATTTACCTCGATCTCTTAAAATAGTCCACAACTCTCCTCCAAGGCAAGTCTCCATCAGCATATATAAATATTTGCGGTCCTTGAATGTTTTGTATAATTTCACAATGAACTCGCAATTCATCTCTGACATTATCTCCTTCTCGGACATGATGTGCTGTTGTTGTCTCGTTTCAACGATCTGGGCCTTCTTCATCTGCTTCAAAGCGAAGGACCTGCTGGAGTCGCTCTGAATCTGGACCAGTTCCACTCGACCGAAGCCTCCAATACCAAGCGTCGCGATTATACGCAAGTCTGAGAGACGCAAATTGGCGAATTCCTCGTTTAATCTGGAAAAGTAGATAGATTTATTAGAAATTTGACCTTAGATTATTTTCTAACGGTCACGGAACGAATTTGAGGCTTTTAACAAAGAACGGCCTTTGGTAGCTTGCGGCTGAGAATTGTCTCGGAAGGTGGTCTTGACCCAACAATTTCACGACAAAATCTGGCGTATTCAATGAATTCGGACAACGCATTTTTTATAGAATTTCTTCTTGTAAACATTACAAAAGTGATAAAAACAGTCTTGAAAGACTATCTACTTCCTCTCTAGAGTTGCTGTTCGTATATCATTATATTATTGATACAAGTTATATAATAATAAAAACCGGTATACCAGGAATCATTGATAAAGACTATGTCAACATAAACACGTGTAGATATAACATGTAAGTATCTAACAGCCGTGTGCACCGAGACCGATATTGAATTATAAATAAAAAATATTGATAATCTATAACTGATTTCCACTTAATATGAAGAAATGGCCCCAAACCATCAGTTCACCAGCTCAATAATAACTTTCTTAGAGTTAATTGATATATCTTTGGTTTTTGCAGCGATTCCATTACTAAGTCATCCAGATGCGGCATGCGCCCATTGTTTTCATTCGCACTTAGCAATCTGTGCAACAAAAACGCGGGAAACGTAATTGTTATCGCTCAATGCCGTGGTAGACACATTTTCTACGTCAAAGAGGAAAGTTAATAACCGATTTGCTTCCACTATTTAATTAAAATTCGACATTGATGAGGAGAAAGTTTTCTAAATCATTTTTAATTTCTACGACTTACCATACGTTTGTATCCATATTGTTTGCATCGAAACAAAAAATAGAGTTAGTGAAATTAAGATACAATTTGTTATCATTTCTATTCATATTGCAGTGGCCATTGTTGGAGTAAGAAAAAGATTAATAACCCACACAATGGTGAAGCTGCACTGCGCGGTAATTTTTCTGATGTTATCGCAGTTGGCTTAGTTTCGGATCAGTGTGAACTTGACATCGGACGTTCACAAGCATAAAACCTTCTTAATTGATGGTAGAAAATGATCACTTCATTAAAATCCAATTGCATTTTTCTCACAGTTATTAAAAAGATATCAAAATCAAAACACGCATTTTACTTTATCTAATAGAGTTTATAAAATCTTTTGTATCGGTTCTTAAAAAAATAAATCTGTTTTATGTTACATACTGACTTAAGCCAACTGTAATAACATGTATGGGAACGGACAAGTATTGTAGCCAACAGGACATGGCATAGTCATGTGAATTGTACTAATTATAACAATGAGTCATAATATGTAAGAAACTATGAATGAATAAAATTGAAACCAGAAGTGTTAGATGACGATTTAAGTAAAAGTGTTAACTCACCGCTGCCTGCTGTCTCCTTCGTCCTTGTATTTCGTACGGATCTCGTCGAGAGCCGATATTAGTTGGTTGAAGGTCTCCCGGTCGATGACGAGGCAAGTCGTGCCCTCCGGCGAGTCACAGATAATGTTTGCTGTGCGAAGGTCATCCCTGGAAATTAAAAATATAGCAGTTGATTGAAATGTGTATTTTTAAATATTAAAAAATTAAAACAAAAAGAGATGCAATGCAAAATGGAAAGTAATAAATTGAACTTACAAATTAATGTTTCAGTAAACGTTTTGTTTATTACAAGCCACTGTACGTTAAACAATCTTACATTCCGTGCACAATTCAAAAGAAATCAAAGTGGAAAGATTTATATACAAGTAAATTTATAGATATACGTTCTAACAATCTTAATGCAAGTCAAGCTTACCCTTGCAATGCCTTCTCTCCGAAGAAATCGCCTTTCGTGAGAGTTCTTATAAATTTCTCATCATTACTGTTTGGTGGTTTCTGAGTGACTTTCACCTGAAAAAGAAATAATAATGACATAAGTCTCTGTTTTTAAATAATTCTAAATGAAGAAATAGTATATACCATCCATCATTTTTGTAATCGTTGTATTGTTAATAATTGTCGTAATTAGCCGTTGACGTCAAAATTGCTGACGTTTTTGTAATGGCGTAGATGCAGAGCATAATAACAGGTCGAGTGAGCTTATTACCGTTATTATAAAAACGTGGAGCGGACGTTTAGACAACATCGAAAGTTGTCATTAAAAGCCGGATGGACTTGAAGTAAGGCACGGAGGGATAACGGCCACTCATGTGCAAGCATCATAATACAGTTCGCAATTTAGTCAAGAGCATTGTAATTACCGGTTCCGCTATGTAAATTAGTAATTAGCCTGCACAACTGATAAGGGAAGCAATAAATTCTTTTATATTTCTCAGGAAACCTAAGTCGGTAGTAATTGGAACAGGCAACGGTAACAAAAAGTTGAATCAGACTTAATCAGAACAATAATCACGAGTCCAACTGTACATACAATATAATAATAAAATAAAGCAGGAACTGAGCTGATTCAACAATGAACTGAAACGTGATAAATGCTCAATGATGCATCAAAACTATAATGGCCGAAACGTTCACACCTCACGACTAATTAAAAGTCTAAACATAAACCGTTTGTGTTTAGTCCAGCAATTCCTACTTTTGTTTGTTATATTAAAAAAAGTGTGAACTTACAATGTTATATGAGGATCATAAAAATCTGTTTGATGAAAGACAGAAAAGTGAAGCTCTCACTATTCCAAAAATACCGGATGCGGCTTTACGACGAAGTTAAGTTACATATAAACCAGATTTGGATAAGGAGGGTAAAGTTAAAAGACATACAAACATTGATGAGATAACAGCGGAAATGCAAAAGATAATGTAACATCAAATAACAATCGCCGCTGATGAAGTCATCCGAATAATTTTACAAGATCAACAAAACGGGAACTATTGTCACAGCTCACTGATTTAAGAGGTGCTCGCTTTGTAAATGTTTATTTCTTAGAATTTTACTAACTGATCTAGTCGGTCATTTTGTGTGACCAATTGTGTGGTCGTTTCATGTTTTGATTTTAAACAAAGCGAATAGATCCTGTTCTGTTTTTTACCGAATTAGTGCAAGTTTAAAATATTTTTTGCTAAATTGCAACATTTCTTTCAATGCCCGCTATTACTAAACTATTAATTGATGATTTACCAAATTATTTTTTTTTATTTTAAAAATGTATTAGATCTGCTGCAAGATATTAGCAATAGGATGCTTTTACTAGACTGAATAACATTATTAAGCTAGTCGTGACATCATTACGTGGTATGATTTGAACATCGCTTTATTGACAACTTGAATAACTCTTTCCCTGATTGCCTAATACAAATAACCAGTATTTAAAGCGCATTACTACACCAATCCATCCGCAATTATAGGCCAAAATAACTTCATTTACATATTGGTACATAAACATACTAAATCATCACGTAATGTAACTACATTTATAGTCGTACTGACTTTATTGGCGATGTGAATATTCAACGGATTACCAAACTTCATTACTTCAAAAATTGGGAACATTTCATTTGTAATAATGAAATAATCATTAAATTTTGAGAAGAATAACAACATTAACCATTCTTACGACGTTTTGTTAAACTTGATTCGTTGTTTAGTCATTTCACAGGTTTTTAGAACAATGCTCCCAATGCTGTAGCAACCTTGCAGATTTGTAACGCAAATGATAATAATGTTCTACTCCACCAAGTAAGATATTTTCCTCATTTTTTTAATACTACAAAAATAATCTCGTCATTGACGCTCAAATTAGCAAAGTGAAATCTGCCATCGTACACAGTATAGGTATGGCATTACAACTAAGCTTGAAAAATCTCATTTATATCCTTCAAATAAAACTTTAGATCCAGAATCTAAAGTCTTATTTTAAATGTCAACGTTCACATAAAATTTCGTTCTACCATTAAAATATTCATAAAAATTTGTTCATAATGTTGAAAATGTTCTGATGTCAATTCATCTGCTTTGCCCAAGAACTTTACATATAAAGGCTTAAATATCACTAACTAATGTTTATGACTTATTATATTATCTCTTTATCAGCTAAATAACAAAAATCTAAACGAGTTATAGCAACTAGTAATAGAGTGGTTCCGTAATAAAAAGTATCTATAGTTTATCTAGAAATATTTGTTAATTGAGTTGCGTTAAATTGCTTCATTCGCTACGATTTTTTATACAAACAAACTTATACATACGAAAAATATTTAATAATTCTGCCGAACGAATACATGTACAGATGTTAACATTCAGAATAACTATAGCAATGACTTTCTACCACCAATCAGGGTAAATTTAAATAGAACACTTATTTTGAATCCTGATCAGATTCCTGATTTAGAAACGAAGACAAGATTCAATACAAACAATAAGTCCGGTGTGCCCAAATATTTCCCACAAACGTTCAAAAATCTGGCCTCAAAATACCATACAATCCTCTCGCTTATGCACAGTGCGCTGACCTTGTGGCCACAATAGCCGGGCTTTTGGCCTCTACTACCTCCGTGTTATATAAAAATTGAGTCACACCAGTGATTGTTTGTACAATGTTACGATCTACAATTAGTCCTATATAAATTAAACCATCATCGCAATCAATTCTGAGTTTGATTAAAACTGAACAATGACCTCTAGCAAATAGATAAAGTTTTAGTTAGCTCGCATTAGAAACATGACCAAGCAATGACGATGCGTTTCTTATATAGGTAGTGTTTATTTTAGAATGTTGAATGTCCATTCCATCCTTGAACGTTGTTGAATGTTTGTCAGCAATATCGACTTCGACAACTTACTGTTTATATATCAAGGATAAAGTGTAAAGTCATAATATAGATACCTACATTTACACCGGTCAGAAATAACAATCAATGTTTGCGGAGACGTAATGCTAAATGCCAAGGTGAACCTCTTGCACAGTCACCGCGTTTACTGCACGAAGCTTATACAATTTAGAGTCATGCGAACATAAAGGAAATAATGTTGAGACTTTCGAAACTTTGTCTCTTAGAAATAGGTAGCTACATGATCACAACACAATTGTGACAGCAAAATGTACAGTTACACAAACACGAACGATTGCTGCAGCTTCTAATACATCTTGCTAGGATCATGGATTCTTTTAACACGAATTATGATGACATAGATCCCGACTATATCACTATTAAGAACTATAAAATAATCAGTTACAAAACTTTATCTTACTCTTAACAAAGAAAACTACAAACGATTCTAAATTTTAACCTTATTAATTGCTAAAATTTTATCCGATTGAGGATAAAAATGTCGATGAGTAACACAGAGTCTAAAAGAGCATAAATACAAAGCCAGTGTTATATCATCAGGAGAAATATTTTGAAAGCGAAAAGATGATTACAGATAATCGAATTACGTGGTTCTAAAGACGGATATGTTTACAAAACATAGAGGCGTGGTCAAAGGTAAAAAAGTCACGTCGCTCCGAGCATTGGACACTCGAAAGTTGGTTCAAACAACGAAAGTGAAATTCTCGAGGTCCGTGAACATCTTCATACAATTATGTTTGGAACAGATTTCTTTGAAACACGATGTCATCATAATAAATGACCACAACATAATGAAGTTATTCGAAAAACTATTTTTAGATGACAAAGTGATTGTCGAACTAATGTTCTTACTGATAAAAGTAAAAAATCTTGTAACCATCGAATTAGAAAGTCGTTAACGCGTTAGAAGATGAAGAAGACCATTTAAGTAATAGCATCATAATTTCCCATAAGTCATTCTTTGGTATTACGATTAGAATAAAACATCGATAAGTTTTGCATAAACAAGTATTATTACTGGTCGATTTAGGACTATGACTAACAGTGTCTATTTAAAGACAGACCATGATATAACGGCAAATATGTCAACGTTTACTCTGAAATTTATTCTTGTATACTATACGTATCGATTGTTCTTGCAGCTTTGAACACTATTATTTTTATAATCTTTTAATTTTAAGCAATGTTAATAACTTGTTACTTAATAATCGAATACAGTTATGCTATGATGAAATCTTGACCCTATTGCGGAAGATATGATTAAATTGATTATGCCAATCGCTACCGCGCAATATAAAATAGCGCTAGTTAAAAAATTAATTGGAAGATAGAAGTTCCGGGGCTGTATAATTGAATTGATAAAAACCATTCACCAACAATACTCAAATTCCTAATCCCAAAAGCCCGGTAACGCACTTGTAACACGTCTGGTGTTTCGGGTGTCCATGGGTGGCGCCGATTGCTTACCATCAGGTGATCTGTCGGCTCCTTTACCGGCTTATTGCATAAAAAATCCATAAATAAGATGTTTACCTGTCCCTTAGAGATGATGAAGAAAGTATCACCACGGGCGCCTTGTCTAATGATGTAGTCACCGTTCTGATAGTGAGTCTCTTCCAATACGTCCGATATCTTGATAAGTGTGTCTTCGGGCAAATCTTTGAAGATCGGCACGCTGTTGAAAAAGAAACAAAAACATTATAAACTGGACCAAAGATTATGTCAGCAGAAAAAGTAGGCTCGACTGTTACGTTTGCAAGTAGAAAGTGTTTGGCCGTCGGCGTGTTATGGAATTTTTACGCCATAAAATAAACAAGCATGGTTTTTGTGTTGTTATAGTGTATAATTTGTTATTTCATAGTTTGTTCAGTACTTATTTCATGCTGAAGTCATTTTAGTTTATTTTTGTTATTTACATACTTTTCTTCGCACTGATGCTTCTTGGATTTCTATTTTTGTGATTATTTTTCATCAACTTCGAAAAATATTGTATTAATTTAGATTAAATTGATATTCATCTGCTTTCAAAATGGCCTCTCACAGGTGGTCTTAGTCCCTAATGGCATAACCGGATTACGTTCATCAATTTCAAGTTACAATCAAATCTCATATCATCTTAGACACCATAGCATTAGGCTATACTGCACTGCAGTAATAGATTTACTATAATTAAGGTCATCACTATGTTTAAAAAGTACGAATATAACTTTTACTATCAAAACTTCATCTACGTCATATTCTCTCAAATTCCATCGACCAATTTTATAATAATTATAGATGAATACTTATATAACTTTACCAGTCTTGGAGTCAAATTGCCTTAACTTAGTTGTGTACATATTTTATCAGTCCAACCAGCCGTTTGGTTGAAAGTGAACGTTAAGGCTGGTTGGTCAACTTTGAGAGGTTTCCTTTAGTGACTCATGTAGTGTAAACCTAAATATAAATACACCTAAATCGCTTGATTTACTTAAAGATGTAGGCGAAAGTATAAATGACAAAGACTGTTTTTGTGAGGATATTCAGGCTCGTAAATGGGTCTATTAAATCTATTAAACTATTTGACATTTACATTATTATATCATTTTTTTTTCAATGTTTTGTTTCTTACAATTGAATATATATTGAGTAGTGTATTTGGTTTTTTGTACCGTTCTATTCGTATAAATAAATAAAATAAAATCTTTTCAATGAAACATATTCACATTATAATCTTTTCCATATCGAAATTAGCTGACATCATACATATCTACTATATTACACACACTGTGGCATTGTTCTAAGAAATTCTATAGATCTTTTATAATCTGTACAATATTTATGAGAGCATTTTTTCTAGATTCATATTCATAAGCATTTACTACTAGATATTTGCTAAGATAAACCGATAAACCCAATGTATATACTTCTTTTCATATAATTTATAGCGAAAGTTTTTGTCGGTGGATGTTTAAAATAGTATTTTCCATTCAATTTATTTTACTATTCTACTTATTTATAGTCTGATCCTTTATCGGATCTACTTTTCGAACATACAGTCGAGTTACGTTGTAACTCTGTACTGAACTGATTTCCAGACTCAATACTGTTAGATGTTGTGAAGTGATAATCAGTAGCCTCAAAATCTTTGTTTTTCCCAAAGATCTAACTCATCAAAAATCTCGTTGAAATCTCGTTGTAGTCGACCATCAATATAGCACAAAACAATCAATTTATCACAATAACACACGCGAAGTCAACAATTACGAATACAGTAAACGTATGATTAGAAAATATCTCGAACAATTTTATTGATCTCTATTTAATGGGCCTATAAACGAAGTCGTACTGAGAATAAACCACTTATCATACAATTAAACCCACATAAAAGAAACTAGCCAGCAGAACAGTACAATATTGTCGTAACTGTGCGTCACAGTCAGCGCCAATGGAAATTGCTTCCATCATATCATTTTTCACGGTCACTACACTATAGACAAAGAGACCCCCTTTTTTATTTATATCAATACTTTTTGATCATGATTTTGTCGGTTTAGCAACCACATCTTCTGGATATGGTGACCAGCTTCTGAGTACGATGACCCGATTAAGCATAGTATTAATTTTACTGGATGTGTGCCAAATCTCTGGTTTTTAAATTGCCTTTTCAAACATGAGACTAAATCTATTATTGGCAAAAAGTGAATGTTCTATACGTCTTTCAGAGAATGAGGTAATGTCATATACTGTTAAGGAAATTCATCGTAAAATAACTAATATGTTTTATATCCTGGATAAAAGTACAACACTGAGACAATATTAAGACTCTCAAAAGTCTCTTTAAGCCTTACTTGTATTATAAATTATTATGTAAGAAACAGATTTATTTGGTTTCTTTTAGTTGTCTCCATTCCGACCTTAGTACAAGGTCCGAATGGCCTCGCCCAATTTGACAGTAGGTACGTAGTTCCGCAATGTCAAGCCGGATTGAATTTATTATATTGTATTGAATTGCTGGCGTTTTTGTTGCATCTATTACTTTATTAAAGAAACTGACTGGTTGGTCTAACCCGTTTCCGTGGGTTGAGGTCTTGCGACTTTTAGTCGTGCAATTTTATAATTCTTTACAGAAATAAAATCGGAATTTAAGGCTGGTATTGGTAAGTTCGTTAGCTTTTACTAAGGATGTTTACACAAGTCTTTTGAGATCGAACGGATACTCAATGAGCGATAATATAGCGTAATTTTGGAGCCTTCTTCAATAAATCGGGAAACGTCAAAAGGCACTTTTGAGCACCATTGACACAAAAAATTAAACATTTGTCAAACTATTAACTAGACACATTCTTAAAAAATTCGCATAGAAAAACATCAAGACACTACAGAAGCGAGACCTATCTGCTTCCCTAAACAATAAGCAACAATAACATTGAGTAAATGATATGTAGTTGCGTTGTTGTATTGCAACATCCATCGTGTAACTTGAAGCCAATGTACAAACGGGTAATTAACTAAAGTATGTCGAGGCAGAAACTACTACACCACGATCAGTATCTTGGACAGAGGAAAACTTAATATCGTTAGCGATTATCAACACGTATAACATGATCAGTGGGGCATCCAATATTTCATCAAAACGGCTCTTCTAATCGGTGTATGGAAATTACAGTCCTTATTCTGTCAACTTGCTACAGAATTGTTACTGCAATATATTTTGAACATGCTATTAAGTCATGTACAATAAACAAAAACAATCAAAGGGAAATTACTGCAATTACCAAAAAGGGTAAAAACCTATAACAATAATAATATTCATAAACATACACCAGTCGTCACAATCAAACGCGCAATAATTAAGTAATTACAGAGTAAACACAACATTAAAATACGATGCAAATAAAAGAAAACGTATCTAACCAAACATCGGTACTAAATATTTCACTACTACATACGTAATTAATACACGAACAAATAAACACAATGAAAACTATTATCAGTGATCTTCAAAAACGTCACAGAATCTTTCTAATGACTGGTAAATGACAATGATATCAAAGTTACCGTTACACTGAACATCAAACACACGTCTGTACATACCTACTGCCTGATTTTAATTGTCTGGAAAGATAAATAAGAAACTCTTTTTAATGTTGACTTCACTGCGTTTATCAGTTACTGCAACGTGCCTCATGTTCGAAACCCGCACGGAACAACCGTATGCATGATACGCAGGAATTTACCTTTGTAAAATAATTTACGTATGACACAGAAGTAAATATTAAAGCCAGTAGATATTTAAAAAGAAAGAAAGAAACATAATGATGTTTATAATGCAATTGATCGCATGTGCCTGTTTGATCTAAGAAAAAGTTTTGAAGAGATCAGATTACTTTTGGGTATGCGTGTACCTGTTATATTGAAAATATTTGATCAGATACGTTAGTGACGTAATTGGAGAATATTATGATATAGAAAGAACAATGACAGACTACGTTCGGCTCGTTTGTATAAACCACAAGATTGTGATCGTGTGGGTTTTTTGAACAGATATCATGGTCCTTCAATTGTTATGAAGCTGTCAATATAACTAAAGAGTAGTCGCCATAAGTACACATTTGCCTAACCCCATCCATATCTTATCCACTTAAATTCTTGCTGATACAATCTACAATGCATTTGAAACCATAGCCGTGCCATATCAAATCAACATTCCTACTTTGGCAGTGACAATGCATGGCGCAACAAAACTAATAAATCAGTCTAGAGGTCCAGACTAAAATATTACTTGCATTTTGATTACGTATCTGTTTTAAAAATTATGCACATCTTATGCACTGGCTAGTCCTGCTTTCTCAGAATAGATTATTACGTCTGTGCAGTGAAAGGATTGCAATCACAAAATGTCAACTTGCAAACGTGACGGCTAGTAAGTAAGTATTTCGTAAATTGCGCGCGAGTGCTTGGGTAACATTGCGTTGACACTGGTTTCGCCAACAATGGCTTTGTTTTATAGCTACTTCAATAGCTTAGATGAATATAAACAATCTGTGCGTGTACACTCAATTGCTTCAAGAGTTAAATGCACGCCAAACTATTGCGTGCTCATTCACAATACCAATGATCATCGTGAAGAATTGGATCAGCAAAAAGTGCTACAAACATACTTTCCTACATTGATCTTAAAATAAAACTAAACTGTGTTGAAGAATCTTAACCTGAATGCCTAAAGAAGATATATTTATTTTACTATCTAAGTCATTATTATTCTTATTTCCAACGTCGAGCTGACAAGTTCTCAAATAAAGCAACAACCAAGATTACCATCGCAATAGAGACATTAATCTTGAAGATGATGGCTTCAACTAAGATGGATCACCGCACTACGAACTTGTACAGTATTTCATAGGATATAAAGCAAGTAACAGATGCTAAGCATTCTACAACACGATACCCTTGATACTAAATGGAAGGCTGTCTAGAATTACACGACACTTGAGACATAAGCAAATAAAACTTTTATGGCTCTAGGGCTTAAAACGGTTTTAATATATCAAGAACTCGTATATCGATCCTATAAACTTTTCTCGGTATATTCTATTCAAAAGTATTTACGATTCGGTAAACATATTTATTATGCTACCGTGTTTCCGATACAATAATTTGAATGTAGGTTACCATTAATGTGAATGTTTTGATGTTTTCAACTCTCGTGATGGTCGTTCCAATAACATCGTTCATGTTATTAATAAATTAACATTCATGCGTTGCAATCCGTTCACATACTCGGCTCGTGTCAAGGCCCGCACTGCAGACGGTATTGTAAGAGTGCGAGTCCGTCGAAAGCAGAAGAATGGGCCATTGCACGCCCATTGCATTTGCATAAGTCTCCTGAGGTCAATATCCTGCTCTGTCATCGGTGATTCTCTCGGAGGGAAGTTTGTATTGTTACGTTCGACTAATATAGATATTTATGGAAATCTTTTAGAAGATGATAATGAAGACTTGCATATTGTAGAGAACAGTAGACCCGAGGACATGAATAATACAACATTGTTAGCCAATTTCATGCATACGGTGAACGTAGAAACAAGTTATTGTCTCTTTTGTTTGTTATTCTTAACGTGTTAAATAAGACAAAAGATGAGTGATTATAATAAAATGTAAAATTGCTGTCTTGAACAAAACGTATACTTGATACCAAATAAAAATACTGAATATAAAATTACCGTTATATAACAAGAATCAAATGAAAGTAAGAGGAATTAAAGAAACAGTTGAAGACGAAAATAATTAAAATATAATGAATCAACGTGAAATTATAAAACAATAATTCGTTTTAAAATTAAAAGTCTTAGAAGGTATTTATGGGAACAAATAGAACAAACATGTGTTCGAAGAATTAGGACATTTACGTATTACAGAAACGTTGTTAGAACAAAATACGAACATTTGTTTGTCAGTCAAGTCAACACAGAGGGGTTACTGACCTCAATACTGTAAACAACGAATCTTTTGAGGAAGATAAGTTGAAATAGCTCGGCTATATAAAGATAAAACTTTTACAAAAAGTGAACATTAGTGTCGAATTAATTCCGTGCCAAGTGTGAATGATCTGCGGATTTTATTTAAAGAAATAACGCACACCGTTCTCACAATTATTATAAAAGAGAACGAGTGTTTATGATGTATCATCGTTATAGAGTTTTAATGTCACCATGAAACGATCACGAACATAGTAACATTTTGTCGCATCTCTGCAGATTTCTGTTGACTTAATATTAAATGTTAAAGATCAGGAAAATAGTTGCTTCAACATAACTCGTAAGTTAGTAGAAATAAATACTATCAAAATCACTAAACTTATAGAATCCTTTTCTTCTGATATAATTATGACACAAAACCCATAAGATAAAAGACCATTACGATTTTGCTGTAAATGAAGTAGAATACTGTCGAAATAATTTTGAAACCAATATTTGATACTTAGTAGGAAGGAACGGCATACCCTTCAAGTCAAGCCACCCACGGGCACATGTCCAAATAAAGATATTGAACATTGTTTTGTATCGTGATTGAATTTTAAAGCTATCCATTAGGTCAACATTACTCATAAGGATATGAAAGATTAAGTAAACGTACCCTTATAGAACTTGATGACTAATCCAATAATAATATTGTATCAACCATGGAGGATGTTTGAAGAAGAGACGATGATAAAAATTGCAAAAATGAATAAGACTTGTCTACTTGCAAAATAACCAGGATTTAGGAAGCTTCTAAGGATATTGGCAATAAGAAAATAAAGGCTCTTACCTCTTGAGGAAGTCAGTGTATTCAGCCTGCCGGATGAGACCAGTGCGCATCATGATGGTCTGGAAGCACTGGCGTTCGATGGCCCATAGTCTGCAATCGGTGGCCGCCTTGATGGTGGCGGTACGTTTGCAGTTGTAGAGAATGGCCAGCTCTCCAAACACCTTGCCTGGTGCCATCGTGCTGAGGTATTTGTTCTCCCGTGACACTTCCACGCGACCCTCTGTTGAAGAAAGTATATATTAGTATTAAGAGAAACTTCAATTTTCGACTTTAATATTAGGAAATCATAAGAAAACATATGTGTTAAAGAATGTTGACTGATTTGGTAACTTAATGTACTCGTCTCTGTAGTTGATATTCGTTGCTAGGCAAAATAATACCTACTCTCCAAGTTGTCATAGGATATTTTACAAACAATATATTAATATTCAAGGATACTAAATTGAACAATTAGGTCTTTTAAATATTTATGCCGATACTATTATAAGTTCAATTATATACTGTTTGCTAAAACATAAATAATAATAAGCTATTTAGATATGACTTATTGAGGGTAATGGCTTTTGGTTCTAAGGCTAGACGGTACTCCAATTACTTATTAAATATCCTCTTTATAATTCTCTTTTTTAATTCTGTCGGTTTCGGTTAATAAATCGATTTATTAGTAAACCTGATCACGTAGCTGTATGAATAATTGAAACTGCATCGTATTCGATAAACTAATTCGTTTTTTTGTGAAAATTTTCCATATGGTGAACTTTATAACTTGTTTGACTGCAACATTCACGTTTACCAATTGGAATAATTTCGATATGATACAAATTAATAAATACTGTCAAGGTTGCTAAGATTGAAATTGTCGGCGGATATTTGTGACTCATTGCAGTGAATGGACGTGGTACGACAAACATACAAACTTTTTAAAGATTATTAAGTTAAAAACTGTTTGAAGCCTCATAGAACTCAAGTTTACTACTCCTATGGCCGTTTTCTTCAAATACTAAATTATCTCTAAAGTAATGGTTACCTACTTAGCGCGCTCTGTTAGGTTTCACTTGTAAGTTGTTGAAAACCAAAATGTTTTTTAATGTTATATAATTTTTTAATGTTATATAAGGGTTCCTTTAAATTTAAGAGAGGTTTGTAAAAACGGGTACTACTCTAGCTGAGGTAGCAAATGACAACGATTTTTTATTCGACCTGCGTATTGAATCCAAAATATTTTTCATAGTAGCTGACTTTCCTATTTACAATAATACTGAGCACAAGTCAATACAAAATATTTTGAATTAGAAAAACATACCTATAATCCAGTTCTTTGGCTCTTATCGCAGCTGTTACTATCGACAATGTCATGATAAGTGTGAGAACAAATAGAGAGGCATGTGAAACCAGAGTTTAATGAATGAGTTGATTTGTTAGTGCATAATTATGCTTAGAAATATTTTAACGAACGAAGACGAATATCACACGATTGAGATTAAAGTATTGTGTTTTATGAGTAATGGTGAATGTGAAACGTCAATTATGAATATGATGAGTTCTTTAAATATTTCAAATAATAATGATCCAATCAGCCTGCAGATTACAGACAAGAGGATAATGAGCGATATTACGTTAACTAGACAATAAAATTAATACCTAAATAAATAATTCCAAGATTTATGGTCTACAAACAGTACATTGAAAGAAAGCAGTAATCTAAACACATATAAAGCCTCTACATTTAACACTAGATTTTTCAGACCAAATTCTCAATTTTTGTCAAAAATTAGAATTGTTTATTTGCCTTCCTTGCTTTCAAAAATCTAACAGTATCTCCCTCAATACGTATGTACGTAATCAAAATAAACTGAAACAGTTAATTCTAGTAGTTTCCACGTAAAAAATAACAGTTATCGCCTATTGACTGATAGATGTGCGTACACGCAGTGAATTGTTCAACAATTCTGTTGTCCTAGCGTCCTATTGTCTACGTCTATATGAACTTCATTCCCGTTATTGCCATTCATCATTCGTGAATTAGCTATGTGTGCGTCATTTTAATATGAAATTCCTTAGCAACTTAGAATAGTTACATGGTTAAACATCATAAACAACAACTGCCTATAATTGCAGGCATGTCATGAAATCCAGTATGAAACCTCAAAAACTATATCAACAATCTACATAGTACTAATGCGCGGTCACCGGTGACCGCTCTCCACTTACTACATTATAGACTTTATTTCTGATGTTTTGAGACTATTCTTGTATGAATAAATGTTGTGGATTTATCATAATCAAGGATTTAAAAGTCAATATATCCAAGTGTAAAATTAATTTAATGTTACAGGCTCATTATGTTGGAATGATATTTAAAAGAAGATAAAGTTATTAGTATTGTCTCAAAAGACTTAAAACATCATCAAGACGATGTTGTTCATATTTTGACTGTACTGTGTAACGTCATATCATAGTCAAATATTTGCAAAGAAACGTTGAAGTAGCGCAACAAGGACATGAGTTCACCTCAGTTTTATTATGTTTGTGATCATATCTTTTTATGTAATCTTGATTTTGTAACGCAATACGTAATATCCATGCCTATCTTTATTAAACAAATCGTTGCAAAGATATTATTATTCATGTTTTCATTGGTATGTTGGTTCTTTGCAGTTACAAGTCATATATAGATTGCTTGAACAAAATTTCTTCATCTACCTTTGAAGTACATAAACGCTAAAACTACAACAAGAATTTAGCGATTCAATGATTTATTTGACATCAGCACTAAAACTTTCATTGGTGAAAACTGTAAATTTCTAAATCATGTGTGAAATGATTACAATGTAAAATACTTCGACAGTAATACGCTAGAGATTGTCAAGTTCACTTTTTATGTTGATAACTTTCTACGTATGATTTTTAACATTTGTCTTCGAACATCTTTTATGGTGTTTGAATAGTACGCGTCTACAGACCGCGAAGATTGTGGTCTAATTACAAAGTCTGGCAAAAAGTGCTAATGAGTTTTGCTGTCAAGAAATTAAAAGCAGTTAACCGGAGTCTGGAAGCCAAAGAATTAAAGAGCGCATAAAAGTGTACATTTTTATAATACTACATTGTAGGACATAGTGATACACATAAGTATGATTGTTCATTAATACTTGTTCTTCTGGAAAAGAAAATATTCAGAATACCAAAAGAACTATGTCAGTCCTCCATACCTTTATTAGTATGAATTACTGATGATAAAGTATGTCCAAGTAAAATATAAGCTATTTAGACCAACCGATGCAGATAGACTGACTCTTAAGCCACTGACCAAACTAAGAACAAGAAAAGCACTTTAAACTTCACCTTTATTTAAATCCATTTCAATGCATTCCGTTTCTACATTAGCCACAGCTATCATTACCCAAATCTGGATTTAACGAAATCTGTGTGGGATTAGAGGTAATAAAAATTTCAAGTTTACCTTAAAAAACACTTTTTATGACTTTAGGATTAGCTGTTTGGCTAACAGGAACGAGATTTTAATTTCGTGAATTATCTTATACTTCGAAAAGTAGTATTCAAACGTTCGTGAGACATACTAATTAATTATTATGTTTTTAGCTTAAACACGTAACTGTTTAACAGGGAACTCGACTAGTGTCAAGCCATGCTAGAGGCTCATATTCATAAGCAGCTTTCCGCGACCCGCGAAGCGGCGACTGTCGTGCTGCTCTGAACTAGTTGAGTTCCTCGTCAAACAGTTACGTGAGTGTGCCGAAAACATAATAATTAATAAGTAGTATTCACACTAAATTTAAAATTAGCAGGCTGCAAACATTAAATGAAACCTTAATAACACCAATTAACAGGAAATTGCAGAAAATTTTACAAATCCTATAATTATTTCAAATATCATTCAAATTGCTGTTCAAGTTGCAGTTGACGTAAATGAAATAGTCAAAGACCGAAAGTGTTTCAAGGTGATTGACTTAGAACATAATGCTACGGTCAGGAGTTCGGATACGTGTCCAGGCTTACTTAAAGCCATTTTATTGTTCATGTAACATTGTACTGAGATCGCATTGATACTGGCTGGCTTTCCAACAAGAAACTTAGAATTTATTTTTAGGTTACGATGTATTATCTTCTTTGAAAATTATTTTGAGCACAATAATAATGATTTCTACGGATAAGTTGGACGACGTGCATTACTATCTACTCTATAACATAAATATGAAGTTAGCTCAACTATAGAAAAACTTGTAAATTGATCGATGTAAGGATTTTCATAATATAAGTAAAAATATTCTGTCAATTCTGCTATATAGGATTCATGATTATTTACTTCAACATTTAACGCATAACATATGAATAACATTTACCTCAAAATTACTTATTTTTTGCTGAATTTTACCTTCAGCTACTTGAATATTATAAATATTCTGACATTCAATGCTAGGCTCGGTTCACAAGAAAAAGCTAGTAACACACACATACAAGGATCCTTAATGAGAGACCATTAGTAATTGCCAGGTTACTGTTATTCTCATTGTCCTTCAACTACCATTAATGCATTTATGCTAAAATGTCTTTACCATATGCGTTCAACAAGGTCTCTTTTAATTTTACAACCACAACACAATTGGTGGCCTATTGTCTTTTGGAACACTTAATATCTTTTAAGCCGTACGAGTTAGTCACTGGTTACGATAGCGACGATTGTAACTGTTTGTTGTTAACAATGAATACAAAAATTATGCTTGCATTATCAAGACGTTGCCACAATAATATTTTTGAAGACAATACAGGATTAACGGCTTCCAAAATTCGATGTGTTGAATCGATTTGTTTTAATCTAAACAAGTTACTTACACACTTTAAAATTTTGAGCATATCCCTTTAGTTCGCAAGGAAAGTTATGGCTAAATTTGATAAAATGTTTTAGTTATTCTGTCTAATTACATAATTAGTTAACTAAAAAAAATAAAATAAAAAATCTGGATTTACAGGTTTTTCAGAAACAGGACGTTAAAAATACGTAACATCGCGAAGAAAGCGGTGATCAATTGCTAAAAATGTATGTTACGTATTTTTAACATTGCGAAGATTACGGAGAATTAAAAAAACTGCTTACTAGTAGTAAAAATTTATTGAAAAGCTAACAAAAATGAATTAAAAGGTAAAAAGTAGTTGTCAAATAAAGGAAACAGACTACATTGTTTGATACAACTTTCAATATTC